ATTTTTAAGAAACTTGTTGAGTTTGGTTTATAATGATGAGCCTTATGCCACAATGAATTAGTGTGTATAATGAAGACTCTTTGTATGATGTAGAGGTATTTATTTTGTAGAGTCCCTGGAGTCTTACTTTGAAAGTCTATTAGGGTTGTGTGTTGAAGAAAGGCTCACACCCAGCAGTGATACTTAATTTCAATTGTGAAATCAGTCTTTTTCCCTGTTATTGGGTAAATAGATGCTTTATTAAAGCATAATAGGAGACTTTTATTTTGAAATTTGCAGTGGGGTGTGTTTCGAAAATGCTACCAGAGTTTGATTTATAGAAACTGGGTGGTTTGGTTCATAATCTTGAGCCATATACTGCAATTATTATCTATGCATCATGTAGAGCCTTTTATTATGTAGAGTCAATGGTCAGCAGCAGAGACAAATCTTTTCTAGTTAAAAACTAGAGAAAACGAGAGAGTTGATTTATGGCAGAGCACTTCCTGTTGCAGGCTGTAGTACTATCCAAAGTCAGAGCATATCTGGTGGTGCTGATGCCATAGTTTGGCTTTGGCTGTAACACTAGTGAATGGATAGATGCTCCTCAAATTTGAAGAGGAGCTGAATCAAGCAGGATGGAATTTCACAGCCACTGTAGAAAAAGGAAGCTGAAATGTCAAGGGACCAGTGCAAGGCAACCCAATGCCAGCTTCCCTACTTCCCAAATCAGGTGTTTCATTTGTTGGAAAATTTGACATACCAGTACTGTAGAGCAGGGGTGCTCAAGTCCAGTCCTTAACAGCTACCATCCTGTAACTTTTAGATGAATCCCTCCTTTAACACACATAAATCTAAAGGCTCAATTTCCTCATGCATCTGAGCAGAGGCATGGTAACGAGTCACTCATTTCATTCAGGTGTGTTAAAAATGGTTTGCATCATAAAGTTGCAGGATAGGTCTTTTGTAGCTCTTGAGGATTGAACTTGAGGACCCCTTCTCTACACTGAATGAGTTCAGGCATTAATGCAGGCTCTCTCCTTCCTTTAAAATTGACTTGATCCAATTTCTCCATGTTTGACTTCTTGTCCGGCTTATCAATTTTTGTATTAATTGGCATGTTTTGCCAATTATCATCCAATCGAAATATACTCAGTGTTTATTTTTAAAGGACAATATAGTAAAGCTGTCTGTTTTTTGCCAGTGGGCATAAACGAATTAATCTAGTTTGGCTTCTGACTGAATTGGAACATTGGTACCCTGGATAAAGGAGTCTGTGTGAATGAGGTGTTTGTATATACACTCTTTTGTTCATTTCTTCTTCATCAATTTCTTCTGTCATCTGCCTTTTTTTCTTTGTTACTGGTTCAAGTTATGTCCCCGTTTCACTAAGCTATACAATTAAATTGATGGATAAGAAATGCAATTCCAGCTGTCAG